GCAGAGTGTAAAACTCCCAAACTCAACAAGCAGTTTGCTCTCTGCTAACCTCAGAATATAGCGATACTAAACTATCTCAAGCTTTTCACTCTTATGTGGTTTACCTGGTTGTCGACGGTGCTGTACGATGTTCGATTTGCTGCTGATTCGATCCTTAATCGAGTCTTTAAAGCTGTTCACTTTGGGGTTATGGCTGGGTTCGTCTTCGGTGGACCTATATTCGATGGATCAGATAAAGGAGCTATAGACCAGAACGCTTTCAAGGCCTTCACCCTCATTCTGATGGTCTCTCGAGCAATTATTGCTTGCCAATACTCCCTAGTCATGTGGCAAAGCCGCGCTCACAAACGAGCGCTTCTTCCTCTTGGACTTACCGTTTTCTGTAATATTCTAGGTTCTTTGGCTTTCCTCGCGGCACATTTTGCTTTCCCGAATGGACAGATGTCTTGGACACACCTACTTTTCCTGTATGATTCCATTGATCCCAAACTTATTTTAACCATAAACTAACAGCCTTAGCTTCCTTGTGGCCATCTTCGATGGTCTCGCGACAATGCTAATCGCAATATTCTGGCGTTCGATAAGCTTCAAACACAATCATCTAGTGGAACGTGTTGGGCTGCTTAGTTTGATTATCATGGGTGAAGGCATCATTGGTATGGTCAAAAGCATTTCCTGTATTACTAAAGGCTAATCAAGCTATACTAGCTATGAGATCGGCACTGTTGTTGCTGCAGTACTACTTATTGTGAGTGAATGGGATAACACTCGCGATGTAACGTCCACTAACTACATATACAGTACCTAATCTGGATGTTATACTTTGACCAGATCGAACATGAGCGGTTGGGAACCATTCGACAACAGATCTGGGCACTCTTGCACTATCCTCTCCACGTTGCCATTCTCCTCTGCGTCGAAGGCAATACTTCGCTCATTGTCTGGAATTCCGTCGTCCAAGGACTCAAATTCGTCTGGGGGTTCAAGCCTGTCGATGTGTCAAATCCCGCAGCAGCTTTTACATCCAGCACAGCATTTACAGACAATCTCAACGCATCTATGTGGAAGATTGATGCCCAGTTCAAATCCAAATCCTGGGCCACCACCTACAACTGGAATACAGACATTGCTAAGATAGCTAACTTGTCGAGTACTTTCAAACCATCAGAATGGAACAACGCCACTGGAACCATTATTTTAAACATCTACAACTCTGCTTCTGTTTTCGTCTTTGAAGCACATTCGGAGACCTTATACCAGATGCTTACTGTCTACCGTCGGCCAAAGATCCAGCAGCACTTAGTAGGACATATGCTGTCTTCGATGTGGTCATTCTGTACTTCTTTATTGGTGCAGGATCGATGCTACTGATTTTGGCAACAATGTATTGGTTCGGAAAGTTACACAAAACAAAATACGAATTTGGGGAGATGATTAATCGTACTATGATCGGCTTCGTTTTGGCAATGGTTGGCGTTGTCGGAGTGCTGGCGAATAAGACTGAGTATGGGTTCAAGTTTGCTGCAAGCAGTTGGATTATTCCGATTGCTGTGTTTGCCTTTCTGACCGGTAAGCTGGACCGCTGTTGACCAAGCAACATACTGACACCTAACTAGTTATTGCGCTCGATAACATACTACTGTCTGTAGCAAGCAAGACCTACAAAAGGCGGTCCACCTGGTCAACCACTAGTACGATGATGGACCCTGATAATGATTCAGTCAGTCTCGTCAGGAGCAACTCGCATCGCCCCGAGACAAGACAATCTTACAGCTCAAACGCTCCTTATAACCCTCCGCAAGATATCTTCCTACCGTCGCCGCCCCTTCGTAGTGGTGTAGCACAACAGAGTAGAGGGCCTTCCAGAAGCACGACGCCGGTGCCCGTGCCCATACACATGGCAATGGGGGGCAACTTCAAGACGGCCAATAGCCGTGCGAACTCATACGAAATGAAGGCACAGAGTCGTCAGGCTAGCCCGAATAGACCACCTTTGCATGCTGGAGGAAGAAGTGGAGGTTACGCTATTGTTGGTGACGACGACCAGAATTACTAAATGATGCAGTAAATGAATGGTCCGGACGCTTGGGGCATTTCTCTCCTCGTATTGTATTTCGTTCATAGCATTTGAGACTAATGATGACGTTATGAGGTCTAGTATATCTGAGTGACGTCTAAGTGCATAGAATTTTGAAGTCAATTTTTGACAACGTAATTTTCAAAAGGCGTGACACAGAATGGCTGTCCCCTCGAATCTGGAGAGAAGATCGCGAGTAGCAAGAAGTGCAAAGAATGATATCTCTTACTCCCGATGCGGTATACTCGGGAGAGCCGCTCTCTCAATGGAAAGAGGACACGTTAGAATTATAGAGCCCATGACTGCTAGTGGTCGAAGAATGGGGATCTGCTGACGTTCAGAAGCACTATGAATCTCATTATTGGTAACAATTGACGCAAGACAGTCCCAAGTCCCGATGGTTGATCTCAGCGCTCTTCAAGTATATCTAAGCGCTCACCAAGTTACATACGAATGAGCTCTCTGAGGTTGTTTCCGTTATGTCGATTTTTCGCAGCTAATGAAGCGACAGACTCCGAGACCTACGAGATTCTTACACACATCAATCGGCTTGTCGAAGGTCGAATAATAGTCTTTCGGCTCAATGTTACTTTACTTTCTTAGCCATGTCCAGCTCCGCTTGGGTGGCCTCTTCCCCGCGTTCCCCAGCTTCGCCGGCGGAGTTCTTCATCCGAATCCGGAAATTCGCTGGCCAATCGGCAAGCAAGATATTTTTTTGATGCTTGTACAGCCTTGAAATAGCGTTGAGAAAGATTTGGCAAATATTTTGCTGTTGTTTCGTTTATTTCATTCTCCTCACTATCTTATCAACAGATCTATATTTTTAAAATCATCGCCATGAATGAAGCTAGGATCCCATCTCTTGTGGAGAAGAGCATTAGCCCGCGCGCGAAGGAATACTTGGCCAAAGTAATTGACTTCATCGAGAATGAATGCAAGATATCCTTCTTCCGCACAAATGATATACGCTGATATCAGACAAGGTATCCCCGCCGATGAAGTATTCGAGGCGATGCTCCCTCAAGAATATTCACAGAGATGGAGCAACATTCCACCAATCCTGGAGGATCTCAAAACCAAAGCCAAAAAGCTAGGACTTTGGAATCTCTGGCTTCACGGCCATTACGCCGACGCTGGAGGAGCCGGCTTCACCAATGTCGAGTATGGACTGATGTGTGAAGTACTGGGGAAGAGCACGATCGGACCGGAGACTATGAACTGCAGCGCCCCCGATACTGGTACCGAATCTCCAGGTAAGAAGCATATGTTTCAAATTGGTCGTAGTCAGCTTGCTAGACACGGTCTTCTGTCTCCGAAGCCTAGTATGCATTGCGGTTGACTATTAGCGAGGGCAAGAACATATGCTTTCTATCCTTCCTGCATGCACTTCTGACCTCCACCTTAAGGCAATATGGAGGTCCTGATTAAGTATGGAACTGCAGAGCAGAAGAAACAGTGGCTAGATCCGTTGCTAGAGGGAAAAATCCGATCTGCGTATGTGATGACTGAACCTGATGTTGCGTCGTCGGATGCGAAGAATGTGTCTCTCGATATGAAGAAAGACGGAAATAACTATGTTCTCAATGGAACGGTGAGTACGCCGAGTAAAGTATAGAAGACAGCTCGATCTCACAAGTGAAATCAGAAATGGTGGATTAGCTCAGCGGGAGACCCGAGATGCAAATTGTAAATTCCTTACTCAGACTTGGCGAATGGTGTTACTAATATTGTTCAGGTACATCGTTTTCTGCAAATCAAAGGCCAACAATCCAGACAGGAATAAGCAGCACAGTATCGTCCTTGTCCCAGCAAATACACCTGGCATCACCGTAACTCGACCACTCAAGGTCTACGGTTTTGATGGTACGTAATGTCCCGGACTCTGTCTGTTGATCCTGACACATGTTCAGATGCACCGCATGGTCACTGCGAGGTTATTTTCAAGAATGTCCGAGTACCTACATCAAACATCATCCTCGGAGAAGGACGAGGTTTCGAGGTCATGCAAGGTCGTATGGGTCCAGGACGAATCCATCACTGTATGAGAGCTATCGGGTGTGCTGAGCGTGGTCTCGAGTAAGGATTTTTTCCTTCTGCTGAATCTTTCAACGAATACTGATCATGCTCAACGTCAGATACATGATCGCTCGCGTAAACCAACGTACAACATTCGGAAAGCTCCTCTCCGAACAAGGTGTTATCCTAGACTGGATAGCAAAATCCCGCATGGAGATTGATGCCAGTCGTCTCATGGTGCTAAACGCAGCAGACATGATTGACCGCTATAATGCCAGCACCGCCAGATTGGAGATTGCTATGGTGAAAGTTATAGTTCCAAACATGGCTTCCACAGTGCTCGATCGAGCTATTCAAGCTCATGGTGGTGGCGGTATTTCACAAGACTTTCCACTCGCCAGAATATGGTCGTACTTGAGGACGACGAGACTGGCGGATGGGCCAGATGAAGTTCACATCATGCAAGTGGGTAAGACCGAAAATAAGTCAAATAAGGCCATGTACGTGCTCTCTTTTCCTTTCATTCTGTCCCCTACGATTTTATTGCTAATCATGACGCCAATATAGTATCCGAAAGATTGAGATGCAGAATTACAGAGTGGAGCAGCTCATGAAGCAGTACAAAGTTCCGACCCAGCCATATTTGTATGACTACGGTCATTCAAAGCTATAGAGGAGATAGCATAGTCGTAGTGTACGAATAGATAAAAAATTTAATGAATGGCACCAGCCCTCTTCAGTTTTATGGCAGTGAGAATCACTGCACTATAATCTGATCAGTTCCCGGTTATTGACAGTTTGATGCCTACATCAAATTTTTACCCCAGCAGGACGCTTGACGCTCACATCACCCTGACTAGCTGCACCCGCTTATGAGTTTCTCCACTCATTGCATGCTCAGATTACCAGTCGATTAGCTCAGTTGGTTTAGAGCGTGGTGCTGTAAGTACAAATAAGCGACTCCCAGTCCCATATGAGAGTGAGTCACTAAAGAAAGAATAAAATATAAAGTTGACGCCAAGGCCGAGGGTTCGACCCCCTTATCGACTATTGTTTTTGGTCTCCTTCTGTTGTGGGTGCCACGTTAGGACATTTCCATAACGAAGTAACGCTTGAGATATAATTTATCACCGGCGTTCATATATAACTCTGGACCGGGACATTCCATATCCGATCTGGTTACGGACCCCTACAGTTGATATAAAGAAAGCTCAAAACAGATGAGATATTTTTCGACGGTCAACCTTTATGCTGTACATTATGTATGAATCTACAAACCCTACCAAAGAAACAAATCCTTCCCTGTGGTTTACGCCGAGCAATGCTTTAATACGAATGTCTCAGGATGAGTCTGCTGCTTCCTTCCCTGTGGCTTTTGCTGTCTTGGCCTTGGTTTTCTTTCCCAGATCGCGATCTCGTTCTTCGTGCTCTTTGATAGCTTGTTGTCGGTCTTTCATTCTTCGTTCTTCGGCCTCAACCATATCTACAGGACGTTAGCATCCTTGTTCGTCCATTGAACCGAGAATGCACATACCTCTCCACTGATCCTCCCCCTCATAGCGCTCATGATGTATCTTCTTTTCAATATATTTCTTGTGCGTCGGATCATTCGGATCCAGAACCTTGATAGTTTCCCACCTTCCCTTTCCCTTGGCAGCATCGTTCCCCTCCAACGCAAAACTAGCCAACAAAACCGCAACGGTCAGACCTTGAGCATAGACACGGGCCTGCACCAATTTCTGCGCGCCCGACAAGTATTTATTCCTCTGCACTAGGCCCAATGCAATTCCCATAGAAGCAACCCACGAGCCAAAAACGATGCTGTACCGATTTTGATTGCCCCAATCTCTCGCACGTTGCAGCGCTGGTTTTGATGCATCATATTCGTTTGAGAGAGTACGATTTTGGTCGGTGTATTGGCGGGCGGGGTCACGTTCTAGCTCGAAATTTCGTGATGCTTTGTCTGCGGCGATGATGGAGGCGAATGTACCGCTTGATACGGCGAGGAAGGCTCGGAATTGGATGGTGAGGCCGCGAACGGCGTGGTATCTTTTTGATGCTGCCCAGACTCCCAATGCGCCCACTCCTAAACCGAGCATACCACCTATAAAACCGCCTTTGATTGTGGTGCTGGATGGGAAGTTTGAGGTTAGATTCCTTATCAATTGGAAGATATAAAGACTACTCCTAGTGATTTGCTCACCTATAGTGCTCCTGCTCCTCTTCTTTGGTAAGGATCTTCATTTTCTCTCTCTTATCTCGATATAATTGAGTTGAAATATGAGTTCAATTGGCAGCTCAATGTTGCATTTGCGAAATGCTGATTCAATGTTGGCAACAGCAAGATATATATCTTCAGTGCATCAAATCTATCAGTCAGTTCCCCGTCTGCCGCACGATGTTTTTATGACGACAACAAGACTTCGGCGAAAGTTCGCCGCAGATGCCGCTGAGGAACGAATCAGACCACCCGGGCCTTTAAATTATTTCACCACCTTACAGATCTCCGCGGATTTGCTTACTCATTCAAGCCTGGGCTTAATATATTGGACATTGGACATTCTTCTGGAAAAGAAGGATCGCAGTCGAATACTCTGAATAATCTTCTTTCGTCGTGGGGGAATTGAAGAATCGTATCAGCTCGATGATACTGTGTTTTGAATTAGTATAATCGCTTTTTGACTCGGCAAAGAACTTTTGGTTTTTGCTTCCCTCTCCGCGTAAAAAAGTAGAACTCTAGAACTAATACTAGAGGCTATTTAGATTAAGCTATAATTAGTCTACATATATAATACTTATATCCCTATCTACTTAAAAGTTTACTATAGACTATATTTATTGTTTCCTAGGTGGTCCCCCAGTTACTGTGTTTTTATCAAAAAGTTGGGCGTTCTTCTACTAAATCTAGATTACCTAACTTTCCCCCTTAACCAGCATGATTTTCTATAAACGTAATAGATAGAGGAGTAGAATAGGAACTTATTATACTATCTAGGATATAAATCAATATTATTAGTATTGAACTGGGTGGAGAGCTAACAAATCAAAAAACGTTCGTTTGGAATATCGAAATTCTTTGCCAAGTCAAAAAGCGAGTATACTAATTCAAAACACAGTATCCCAGGATTATGATTGGCGCTTGAGCCAACACGCGAACGACTTCGTCGACTTCTAAGGTTAATTACCTGTTATTCACTCGAATCCTGATCACCATAAATCTTTTCTTTGCTGTAAAAGTTCATGGTACAAAATACACCAAAGTGTGGAATAGCCGATGATGAGAAGACTACTCCTGGGTGGGGTACTAACCCCTCGTTGTACGCCTTACATTTCAACAGATCCGACTCTGCAATACTTGGAATATTGACAGCGTTCACTTGTGTGGAATGATCTGGTCCTATTCCGGGTCAATGATGGATCTCCGCGCAGTCGTTATCTACTATCGTAGGGCTAAACACCATGAGAAACACGCTTTTGTAACACCTAATGACTTCACTCAGGAGTCCGGCAATAGAATTACAGGCGTCGACAAGAGTTGACAGAGAACGATTCATCATTTATTCTAGTTCGCATTCAGGCATCTTTCGTTCAATGAAGTGGGAAAAAAAGTTCTTCCGCCCAAGGCAAACCACCAAGGAAGTAAAGATCACAGATCGTAGATATTATTCCTGGTCATCCATATTAGATAAAAGCGCAGCTATAAGATCGCGTGCATGCATGCGTTTTGCATTCTTGTATGCATCGGCGGGAGTCGAGATTACTACACAAATCATTTAGCAAGCTTGACTTACTTCCAAGGAAGGTCTAGCCATACTGCCTTTGGCATTGTCCGTGATAGCACCATCGCGGGCTGATGATGTCGCTGTTCCCTTGGAAGCATCGGGTTTGGTAGCACCCGTGGAACTTGCAGCAGCAGCCGACGTGCCGGTCGCAGCGGGCATAGCACCAGCTGAGGCCGCACCGCTATAAAGAGGGGGTCCTGGAACTAGGTAATCGGAGAAAGCTTTGTACGGCTGGTAGATGTTGAACATGATACCCGGGTCGGTGGCCATGTAGAGTGCGGTGCCCACAACACCTTCTGGGGTATCAGATCCGCCGCCAGTGACCTTCAGGTTGAAGCATTGGCTGAGCAGTGTTAGAGGATGTAATATGAAGGAATTCGGGGCTTGGCTCACGGGTAGCTTTGTGCTCCACCAACACCCTGGGCTTGGTGCAGAGCGATGGTCTCATGACGAAGAACATAGTTGCCAGCCTTGATGGAGGCGGGAATTTGGACAGTCCAAGCATTGTTATTCTTGATCATATCATCATCGGCATATCTTGCTGGAGTCTCCACAAGTGTCAGCTTCCTCTCTATCACGAATCTCCAAAATGAACTCACCACCTCGAGGCCAGTCATCCCAGCACCATCAATTTTGAAGAACTTTTAAGGCGGTCTTGTCGACAGTAGAGCAATCACCACCGCAATCAGCAAGATAATCCAACATAAGTCCCTTATGGCTCTCAGGCCATTCCGTCCATTGCAAAGAAACCATACCTCCCGCAGCAACCTCAGCGGAGATCTTAGCGTTCGTCGCACCTCTTTGGCAGATGATGTCGGGACTGTCGAGCTTATTCCCATCGACCGGACCGCGATCTTGAGTTTGAGGGGCGGCCCATCCGATTACTGCTGGTGGTGTGGGCATATACTGGAAGTTTGGGTCATACCCTTGATATGTTTTCGTGCCAGCGACGATTTTGGAAACGATGCCATGGGCGGAAGTGTGCTGGCTCAAGGCCGCGACGAGAGAAAGAGTAAGCAGCATCCTATTTTTTCAAAGAATGTAATGGTAAAAAGGCGCAGTTTGCCTGAAACGCAACCCGGAAGTATTGGCAAGAAGCGAAAGAGAAGCAAAAGAACGTGGTCAAAGAGGAAGAAAAGCGAATGTAGTTGAGAACAGCTGGATAAAGAAAGCTGGTGCATTAATAGAAAAATCGAATATCTTCACCTTCTTATAGCGATCCTGTTTCTAACGACATGAGGCGCCGGGCGAGGAAACGGGCTCAGTCTCCTGATGCAAAGTCAGTGATGCTAATGTCCATATCCAAACATTTGCACGCTGTTTGGAAGGTACTTCATATCGCCCATGCAAATCCAGTAGTACGCCACAATATTTTGTCGAACAAAAGTTTGTTCTTCTTAGGAAAGCCACTGTCATGCTAAGGTCAAGCGATCCGAATTGGAGACTCGGTACAACCGGCAAATGTGGTTGATGTTCATCACAGAACGGCTATTTCGAAGTGATAGGTGACGGTAGAATGCCATGTTTGGACGTTGGCAGCGTTGGGTTCTAGGATGATGGAGGCGAGATAAGAGGAGTGGACGGTGGCCTGTTTGGGGGAATTTTGTTATTCAACGGCTGATGAAACGTTTGGTGTCTTGGAGCTTCCAAGACTAAAATGTCGTACCGCCACTATGTAGGCCAGAAAATTTTCTGAATACGGTAAAATGAATGTGGTCAACCTAAATCATCCTAGCCTGCTACATACGACAAAAGAAAACAGAAAAGATCAATGACCGACTATTAGCTACATGCTCGCTCGCTAAAAGAGATCAGGGACTACCCGTGGCTCCGCCACTAAACCACCGCTGGTTAGTGGGTGTCTGGAGCAACGAAGACGCAGAAAGTCCGAAAAAACGCTGTTACAGAAGAAGCGTGATAAAGGGAGGGAAAAAAAGCGCAGGAATTCATAGATGAACAATCAGCATTGCCGTATGAGCGCAGAAAGACAAGCGAGGTGACAGTGATAAGGGAGTGTATTTGATAAAACAGATCGCCACTCCTGTTCTTACTTAGACAAATGCTCAATAGCCTGTTAGCAGGGGACACAGTTAGCATAAAGTCATTGATTTCTAGAGCTAGAACTTAGGACTTACCTTCTGAAAATCATAGTCATACTTCTCCAACGCACCGAGGGCATCAGATCTCTTGTACCCTAATGCCATCAACTTCTTCAAATCGTCATAATCATGCTCGCTTGCAGCGGTGACCGAACGTCCCAGCTTAGGA